ATCAAAGAACTTACATGTTTATAAGCATAACCCATGGACACAGACACTGGTCTGGGGAAGGCCTGGGGGTGGGGTGGATGCGGGGTGGAGGGGATCAATGGGGGTAAAAAGGGGACACCTGTAATACTTTCAACAATAAAGATAAAGAAACTTAAAAGAAAGCAAGCAACAAATGAAAAACAAGACAAACAAAAACACAGGCACAGGCAACAGCACGGTAGTTCCCAGAGGGAAAGGGGAATGTGTTTCATTTTAAAGCTACAATCCCCTCAATTTTTCTTAAACCTTCGACATCTGCTACACTCTCTTTAGTGAGCACCAACGAGCAGCAGATGAGAGAAGAGCCAACAGTCTGCAGCAGAGCCGAGCCAAGCCAAGCGGAAGAGGGTGTGATTCCCGGAGGCAAGGCCTTGGAGAAATTCCTCTACCTCTTAAGCCTCAGCCTCCTCATTTCTAGCAAGGGAAAAGTATTCTAATATTGCCACACGGGTCAGAGGACATGGTGCCTGACACACAGTATGTACTCAGTGGTTATTGTTATCACCATTAGAGGAGAGCTCGGAGGGAGCCAGTCGCCTCCCGGAACTGGCTCAGTGGCCAGCTAGGTTTTCCCAAGGTCAGGATTTTATGTCACATGCGTAGAATAACTTCACACTCGGCTGAGACTGATCCCGTGGCGTCCTCTAAGCTGTACCCTATTCAGAGCGACTTACCCTCCTCAGCCTCCGACACCAAGGTGCCCACCCCTTATTGTCAACCAGGTGCTCAACACCTGAGTGTCTAGTCTTGCGGTGAGCAGATGGAATGGCACAGCAGTGGGCCCTCGAGGGGCTGTGGAAGGTGGGTGCTCAAAAAAGGGTGAGGTGAGAGGTCAGGGAAGGAGGGGCCCTTCTCCTGTGGTCTCCCTGTGGGTCAGGAAAGAAGGCCGATGACTTCCAGGATGACTTTGGAAGGAAAGGGTGCTGCATAACAGGCTTAAGAGGTCATCTTGAATCAAAAATACCAGCACCCGTTTTTGATGGAACTTCAAACTTTTCCCTCCTCCTCAGTAGAATGGAAGCTCCAAGTGGCCCAAAATCTTGTTTTATTCCTTCATGTGTTCCTGCACCAATGTCTGGCACTTAGTAGACATTAAAATACTTCTGAGTGGATGAGCACTGGCTAAGCCAGTGGTTTGTTGTTTTTTTAAATATATCTTTATTGATTTCAGAGAGAGGAAAGGAGAGAGAGAGAGAGAGAGAGA